ACACCCGTAAATATATTCTTTTTCTTTTTTGATTAATATTATTTATCAAATATATATTTATATTTCTTTTCATTCAATCATTTCTAGTTCAGGAGAATATAGACAATGAAAGTATTACTGAATCCGATAGTGATTATGTATATGACGTCTATTATCGTGATGATTCAATGGTATTTGATGATAAGAATGAATATCAGAATTATGCTTCATTGTACGGTGATTCTTAACTTCCTCTAGATCTTTTATTTATAATGGTATTCATAATTTTAAATATTTAACAGAACTTGGTTCAATGGCGATAATGGCATTTTTGTGAAAGATACAGCAGAAAAAGATGATTACGTATATACAGATGATGAAGATTCAAATGGTTAGCTATTATATATGTTTACGCATTTATAATTCTGGTTTTATACATTTAAATTATCTTTAATTCCGTAGCTGAAGATTATTATACACATGACTATCCTGATGAAGAGGAAGTTTGGAGCGAACAAGGTACCATGAGTTTGACTGTAAATTGACGTTTAATATTATTGACGTTCTAATATTTGCAAGTTTCTTTTATTTTAGAAGATCATTCTTCTGAGGAATATTAGTGTCAATTGTGGTATGCTATGGCTCTCAGTAAAGTTGGTTTTTAGACGTCCTACTTTAGAATGCCTTAAATTTCTAAAATATATTCTAAATTTCAAAAATAAATACAGTATTAACTAAAATTCAATTTTTTTTGATTTTCGGATGTGACTAATATAAAGCAACAATTTTCGAAGCAGTTGTTCGAGTGCCATTTTTGCCAACCTTAGTTCTCAGAGAACATGAAAAGTTTTGAGAACTGAAAAACATTTGCTCTTTGAAAACATTGAATTGCTTTAGAAGATGAAAAACAATTGCTCTTTGAGAACATTGAAAAACAATTGCTCTTTGAGAACAAATTGAAAAACAATTGTTCTTTGAGAACATTATAATGGGATATATATTACTTAAGACTTTGTATTTCTTGTTCTAAATAAAAAAAAACAAATATATTCTTGAAATTGAAAATATTTTACTATTATTAGTGCTCTTTCATAATTATGATTCCTTCATAATTTCAAATATATTATTTTTTTAAAGATTCAGCGCAAGCTATTCTTAAATTGATTTTAATCTGTCAATGAAACGGTGACATTTTATAGACTGTAGCTTTAATTATTGTTTTTAAATTTTAGAAATATATTTTACAAAGAAGATAATTTTAATTTGTTTATTTTTAGCAAAATCAATAATTTTATTATATTTATTATAAAATAAAATAAATATTTTTTAAAATTTATTATAAATTTTAATACATAACTTTAATAAAAAATAATTTTAAATCTTAATAATCTTAAATAAATGTAAAAAATTTTATTACATTATATGCAATTATTTTATAATATATATAACTAGATAAGTTTTGCATTATACATACGGTATAATTTTTATTTTAAATACAGTTAGACCTCTCTAAATACAACTCTTATATCTGCCTAAGTATAGTCTTTAATTTTGGTAGTAAAATGAACTTTAATATTTGTAGAAGTTGCGTAAGACTTTTATTTAACGTATCTAGAAATACACTTTAATGACTTTAATGCGAATAAATCACCTTGTATATCACGCACACGCGTGATTTAGCTGACAATAGTAAAAATATTAAACTCAATTGATACGTACTCATGCACCTTTTTTTTTTTGATACATCTAAATGTACTCTAAAATTTCTCTACTTTTTTGTACTTATGCTAAATAAAGCTCCGTAAATAAAATAATAAGTATATATTATATTTATAACTTGAATAATTTTATTTTCATTTAATTTCAATAGTCGATTTGATTTCAACAAAATTAATTTTAACAGTTAAAATTTCGATGGTTTAATTAATTTTTAATTTCTAAAGTCAATTTCTGTTCATAGTAGCATTATATAGCAATATTGGAGTTTATGGTTTTTGGAATTACAATTATGCATTAAAAAATATGCATTAAAAATAAATTGTTTCCTACTTTAAGCAAATCAATTTTTGTTCACAGTATATAGCAATATTGAAGTTTTTGGTTTTTGGATACATTAAAAATAAGTATTAAGAATTTAACAATAAACTATGTTCTCTTTACTGCTTTAGGAATTACGACTTTATCTTTGTTTAAAATTGCACCCCAATTGGCATTGTAGACATGATTTACATCCCGCTGTTTTGAAAAGAGTTAGAAGAATTGTAAAATGCAAAATAAAACAGTATACTTGAGTTGAAAATAACACACCAATCCTTCCAGCATAGCGATGATTTCATTTCTTAAACCTTCTTGTCTTACTTTTAATGCATCAATGTCTTTTTCTTGCCTTTCTTTTAATACATCAATTTTATTTTTTAACTTTCTATTTTAAAGAATTGTAAAGACGCTATATAAAAGAACAATAGAAAAAGAAAGAAAGCAATAAAGTACCAATTATTTCCAATTATGAATATGCAGACCACTGTTATACCACCAATCAATTCACCAAACATAATAAGTAATTCTTTATTTGCTTCAACAGCTTCTTTAGCCTTTCCGATCTAAGAACTATTAGGTGCAATGGGAGGAAGGGAGGTGTAGGATCGATGTATCAATATTGAAGGAAAGTAGGAAGTAGACAAAGTAAAGAAACAACGTAGAAACATTGAGAAATACAGAAATAATGACGTGACAATATTAAAAGGTAATAACAACTCTGAGAGAAAGAAACACGAAGCTTACACCCCAAAATTTTAGAGCATGTACTTATAATAAATTATGTATTGGCATATAATTAATTATCATAAAAAATATATGTCAGAGTATTTATAATTTAAATTTTGGGGTTATATTTAATTTAGAGTGTGAACAGAATCCACTACAATGTGTAAGGTCAGTGCAGGGACATTGGAAATAAATTTTTGAGCCTAATTTTGATATTTGCATTTTGGCCAAATTTTTCCAAAATTTTGACTGTATACATGCGATCTCTGACCAATCATAAGACCTAATCAATCACATGATTAAACACTCAAGTCTGATATGACTCAACTTCAGAAATCGGATAAGTTGGAACCAAACAATTATTCCTACTTACGATCCATAATTGTCTCAGTTGATAACTTACTCACTGCATATATATCCTCTTCAACTTAAACCTTGTTTAGCTATTAACTTTAAAATAACTGGCTGAGCCAATTTTTAACTTTCAGCTTTAATCAAGTCGACAAATTTAGATCAACTACACTAATCGAGATAATGTTATGTAAAATCAAGTAAATTGGATCATGTAAAAAATTTTGGCCAAAACTTTTATAATAAAATAATAAAAATAAATATAAAATTATAGTTCCGAATATAACTATACTAGTACGATCACGTTTCTTGTATAATATGAAATGTGGTAGGGAGACTTTTTTAATGTTGCTTATGCTGATTTTTAAAGAATCTTTTTTTAGTAGGAGTAATGATTTTCATTTATTCGTTTTAGAAAGGAGTTAAAATTTTCATATACTATCCCTTAATATGTAGACCAACGCAGGCAAATTTGCCTGCGTTTTTGCACTTTTTTAGCTCTGATTTACT